GTGTGTGTGTGTGTGTGTGTGTGTGTGTGTGTGTGTGTGTGTGTGTGCATGTGGATACCTGAGGTTGATGACAGGAATCATCCTGGTTTGTTCTTCCACCATATTCAATGAGGTAGGATCTTACCAGTCAGCTTGCTCTGAGTATCCTGCCTCAGATTCCTGAGGCTGGAATTACAGGCAGGCAGGCAGGCAGGCAGGCAGGTCTCCACACCCACCTAGCATTTACATGGGTTTTGGGGATCCCAACTATGTTTCCATACTTGTGCAATGAGTTCTTTAATCACTGAGGCAGATCCCCAGCCCCTTCTCTTTATTTTTGAGGTAATGTTTCTCAACGAATCTCAAGCTCTCAGTCTAGACTATCTGGCCAGCAAGTCTCTGGAATCCCCCTTCCTCATACCTACCCCCAGTAATAAGATTACAGGCAAATCCAGCTTTCTACATGGGTACTAAGGATCTGAACTCAGGTCCTCTTACATGCATAGCCTCAGAGTTCCAAAACTCACAATGGGACCCCACGTTAATAGGAGCCACCAAAGATGCCAGTGGGGCACTCTAACAGTTCTCACCATTTTACTTGGGAATTTAAGGGCTAGGAGTCTGAGAAGAGTTTTACCTTGTTACTCAGAAATCAAGTTGTATGGTAACTGTATTTTCTTGTTTTCTGTATTGTCGCTCAGGCATCTGAGACCTCAGTTACCACCTGGGGACAGGCCCTCCCTCCAGGGCTAACTCATTGCTAGACAGTAAACAACCTGCCAGCGTGTCTCATAAAAGCAACCAACCGCATCTAGGGAAGAGAGGAAACAAGGTCTCCCTGTATAGCCCAGACATTCCTTGAACTCCAGATCTTCAGGCTTCAACCTCCCCAGTGCTAGAATTACCGGTATGTACAATCAAACCTATTACTTCTAATTCCCCTACCTCCCCTTCCCAACTGCTAGAATTATGGCCCTGAAACAACAGGGAATAGCTAAGTTCAAATCAGGATTGCCCAGCTTTCACCTCACAGAAGTAAAAGCCATGACAGAGGAATCCTCAGTGAGGAGACACCACCTCAGCTCTCCTCTTCTTCTGTTAAACCCACTGTTAATGCAGGTGGCCTCAACACTCAGCCCCACTTTCTGAAGGAGGCAGAGTAGCAGAGGACATGTCCAGGACACAGTCCCATGTTCTCTTGGTTGAAGATTCCCTCTTAGAGAGCAGAAGGGAATCCAGTAGAGATCCGAGGCTGTCCAGGCCAAGAGAAACAGAGGCTAGAGGCAGGCAGAGGAGATGAAGGAACTTTAATGGCCACCCATCAATGTGAGCAGCAGGAGTGTCTAAAACAGGGTAGCGCCATTTCTTAGGATCATCCTGGGGCTGGCCCCTCAGTCCTGACTATGGCAATTCTCCATCCAAGCGGTCCACATACAAAGGGAGTATCTGAGGAGCCCCAGTCTCTAGGACCACATCTGTAGAAGCTTAAAATCAAAGTTTTCTGTGACCAAAAGAGTCTAGGTCTCGAAGCTGAGAAGCCAGCGGCTACCTGCGTGTCCCACTGTGGCTTTGTCCGGTCTGACTGCACTCAGGGCCAGGCGGTGACCATGAGTCCTCATATAAGTGATGTTTTCCTTTCTGACAGCAGCAGGGACTCCTTCACCGCCACCAACAGTCCTGGCGGGGGCAGGTAACCCTGACTTCGGAGTCGTAACAATATGAGGAGCGTGGCAGAAACCAGGATAGCACTTAACACCCCTGTAGGGGATAGACAAATGGTCAGAGGAGTGAGGCAAGAAGGGTAGAAGCTACCACATCCTAATATGTATATGGTCTTCTGAGTGTTTCCTCCAATCACCCCAAGCTCCTCACATGGGAAGGCCTATCTTACCAGCAGCTGCAATAACCCCGTAGGCATTTGGGTTTCGGGATGGGCCCCCAGCAGAGGCAACTGTGGCATTTCTGAAAGAAGTCTCATTCTCCGGGATAATAGAAGTCCTTGTTGTTGTGGCATTCTCCTCCTGGAAGATCTTGTCTGTGTCTATGTCAGTGTCTGCAATAAGCCCAGGCATCACTAGTTGAGAGACACCTAAGGCTTAGCAGTGGGGTATATAAGGTCTCCGGTCTCCTGATCTAAGACTGAGTAGAGTTGATAAAATAACTACTCCTGATGATGTCGTGTCCACCACCACAAGGAGAAGGGCCTAGGAGGATGCACGTGTTCACATCCTCAATCTAGTCACACATTATGCATAACCTAAACACATCACCCCTGAACTGGACCTCTGGTACCTAATCTCCACCAGGACAGAGCATCATAGTTCTGTCAAGTTACAAACTCTTATCTGCTAGCCCTTCCCACCCACACAGGTATACCAAGATCCCAGGGCACGCACCACAACTGAGCTCATCACTGGAGTCAGGACAGTCTGAGTGGCCATCACAGCGCCAGGTGTGTGGTATACAGACATCACCCAGCATGCAATGCAGCTCGCCCTCCTGACAGGGCTGGTGGCCACAGTTGAGAAGTTTCTTGTCAAAGTCAGCAGGGCAACCACTGATGTTATCACAGGAGCAAGGAAGGGCAGCCAGTGGACGGCACTGCCCATTCTGAGCACATGGCTCAATCCCTGAAACATAAGGTCAATCAGATTCCAAATAACCACGCAAGAAAGTGCAGTAAGACAGGCATGGTGGTGCATACTTTTAATCCCAGCATTTGGAAGACAGAGAAAGACAAATCTCTGAGTTTGAGACCAGCCTAGTCTACATAATGAATTCTAGAACAGCCAGGGCTATGTAGAGAAATCTTGTCAACAACAACAAAAAAAGGGAGAGGCGGGGAGGAAGCCCAGTGCTCTAGTTGCCCAAGTCCCTCTAAATCCTAGCTTCTAAAAGCAGCTGACTGAGCTGGAAATGGTATCTCACTACTTTAGCTACTCTAATCCTAGCACTTAGAAGGCAGGAGCAGGTGGATTTCTGTGAGACTGAAGCTAGCCTGATCTACACAGAGAATTGCAGGCTGGCCAGGATTAGATAGATGACAGACAGACAGACAGACAAAGCTTCCCCAGGGCTCAGTAGATAACTCAATGGGTAAAGTGCTTGCTACACAAGCACACGGACTGGGTTTGATCCCAGTACCCATGCAAACACCAGGTGCACATCCACAACCACAAAGCTAAGAGTGCAGGTGGCTAGATCCTGGGAGCTCCTGAGCCAGCCTGTCTAGCTGAAGCTGGAAGCTCCAATTTTATCGAAAGATGGTCTCAAAAGGTAAGATGGAGAGCAATAGAGAATAACACTAATGCCAACCTCTGTCCCCCCACATACACACAGGCTGGCAAACACACCTACACACATGTACCCACTAAATAACAAAATAAAAACAGCTGACCCTGTGTGTAAAGGCTTACCCCACATAACGTCTCTACCCACTACTCTTGTCAATTCTACCTTCCAATATCTAGTCTTCCCTTCAGGTTCCTACCTTATTTGTTCAACCTCCCTACAAGCCTGCCTTCAACTCCAGCTCTTTTGGTTTTGTTTTTATTTTTTATTTAAAACAAGGTCTCACTATGTATCTCTGGTTGGCCTGGAACTCTGGTTGTATTGCTGGCCTCAAAGTTACAGAAACATATCTGCCTCTGCCTCCAGAGTGCTAGGATTAAAGGCAGTCCCAATAGTCTAGACCCATGGACTCCACCTTGCCCTGCTTTGCCAGCCCCATCCACCCAGCCCTATAACCAAAGCATTTTCCTAATCCCCATCTCTATAACTAGCACCAGTCCAAATATCCATTCTGAGGCCCTCTCCAGGAATGGCCACTTACTACACTCCTCCTCGTCACTGCCATCAGAGCAGTCCCGGTCCCCATCGCAGCGCCAGGAGAAGGGCACACAGTAGCCACTGGTAAGACACTGGAAGTTGTCTGTCATGCACGAGCCAGCTCTGGGGCCTGAGAGATGAACATAAGTGAGGCCTGGGTTGGGGGTGGGGAGTGGGGTTGGGGGCTCAAGGCACCCAGTCAAGCCATGTGCCAGGCTGTAGAAACATATTGGCAGCTACCCTCTGCAGGGCACTGTATGTGCTGTTTGGGCCCTAGAAGTTCATGGATGCTGCTAGCTAGACAGAGCTACACTCTCCAATCTACCAAAACACTATGACCACACAGAGCTGGTAAGAGAATCAGAACTCAAACTCTGGTCTCACTGTCCCTTAAGGCTCCAGATGGCCAGATAGTCTACACTAGAGACCTCTAAGCTCCATGGTTAAACAGGTTGGGGGAGGAGCTGTTCCCCAACATGCTCTGCAAGAGGCTCATGATCAAAGTCAGTGGGACCTATTCTAACCAACCTGCTTAGAAAGGGGACATAGAGAACCTGGATAGTAAACCTGCTCAAAAGGCAGGCATAGTAGTGCATGCCTGTAATCTTAGCTCTCAGAAGGTTGGAGACAGAAAGATCCTGAGTTCAAAGCCTGCTAGGGCTACAAAAGACCCTACCTCAAAACAAGAAAACATGCTTAGTCACCAAGCCTGTTGCCTCATCTACTAAATTTCCCAGGTTAAAACATTCTGCATAGGGCTGGATGGATGGCTCAGCAGTTAAGAGCAGTGTCTGCTCTTCCAGAGGTCCTGAGTTCAATTCCCAGGAACTACATGGTAGCTCACAACCATCTATACCCTTTATTGCCCGCTTCTAGCATGCAGGTGCACATGCAGACAGAGCACTCATAGACACAAAATAAATAAATAAAATATTTTAAAAAGAAAAAAAAACATTATGCATAACCTAAACATGTCATCCCTGAACTGGACCTCTGGCGTCTAATCTCCACCAGGACAGAACATCATAGTTCTGTCAAGTTACACACTCTTATCACCCACTAGCCCCTGGCACCCAGACCCTCTCACAACCAAATCTAAATCCCTTCTTTCTCTATCAAACTCCCTTTATCCTGGCCTCCTCCTTACAGTTCATCTAAGAGAGATTTATGCCTTCTGAAGCCCAAAGGCCCTTCTTCCACTCTGTATTCAGACCCTTCTGCATATCAGGCAAATATTCTACCACTGAGCTATACTCCAGTTACAGCCCACCCTATCCTCTCTATACCACTCTATACCTGTGATTCCTCTGCAGCCTTCAGATCTCAGCTTACCAGCTTCCTATGGGTCTTATGCACCCATAGGAAATTCTGCCTCCCCAAGTAACAACAGCCCCTAACTAATAACATCCATCCTCCTACTGACTGGATACCCTCAGTGAAGGTCAGGGACTTGGCCTCATGACCCTGTCCAGGTCAGTGCCTGACAGTGTGTGGACAACAGGTCATGGAAGGGTCCACATTGAGTCCAGATGAAATATAAGCCTTTCCTGGACTCTGAACTGGGAGGCTAGGGCTGTTTGCTGCTCTAGAGGGGCAGGCAGTGAAGTGACCTGGTGCTTGAACCAACAGGAAGGAAGAAGAGACAGGAGGGGGCCTTTGGAAAGGCCTACCTCACACACACAGCCAGAGCCACCAAGAACCCTCCCTTCCTCTCCCTACAGTCAAATACAATTAATTACACTTGCATACCACACAGTCCAGGAGCTCTCTAGAGCTGAAGAACTGAGAACAAGCCCTGGCTACCTTCAACTGCCTCCAGGCATAGCCTCCAATCCAGACCTAACAACTCACAGTCCTCCTCTGTCTGCCATTTCAGACATCTTGTCCCTAACTTTCTGGATTTTCTTGGAGTAGGCCCAGAGCAATGCAGATCTTGCCTCATGGGGCAATTAATCAGACAGTAGTCAGGATGATCCATGATTTCTCCTTCCAGCTTGTTTCCTCATCTGTAAATGGGGACTACTAAGGCCAGAAAAAAAAAAAAAATGCTCAACTGTAACCCTTCAGCTTTTGGGAAGCTGAGACGAGCGGACTGCTTGGAGCTACAGACCATCCAAAAGTAGGAGGTGACCCATAAAACTCTGCCAGATAAGTGGCCCACACCTATAATCCATGTGGGGGAAAACTAAGGCAAGAGTCACAAGGTCCAGTTCAGCCTGTTACCCAGTGAGACCCTGTCCCAAAAAATGTGAGCCAGTAGTGGCTGGAGAGATGGCTCAGTGGTTAAGAGCACTGCCTGCTCTGCCAGAGGACCTGGGTTCAATTCCCAGTATCCACATGGCAGCTCATAACTGTCTGTAACTCCAGTTCCAGGGGATCTGACACCCTTAAACGGATACACATGCAGGCAAAACACCAAAGCACATTAAAAAAAAAAAAAAAAAAAAAAAAGTGAGCCAGTGCCTTTCTTTAATCCGCACTCTCGAGGCAGAGCCAGTTCTGGGAGTGCCTGGTCTACATAACAAGTTCTAGCCAAACTCAAAACAGTATTCTCCTATAGAGTGAACGGTCGGTGGTGGCCCATGGTCACAATTGGGATCTCCTGTTCCTGCCTAGGACAGCTGCCTGACCATGGTTAGGTTCACAAGGGACCGCCATTCCATTCTTTTCTGAGGAAGGAATCAGAAGCTCTGAGTGCTCCAAGAGCAGCCACAAAACTTCAGGCTCAGGACCGAGGGTTTCCGGAAGGCATACCTGCTACAGATATGTGCCAGGTGACCAGCCCTGCCTGGTGAGAGGTCAAACAAAATCAGAAATCAGAAACATAAGCCTTCCAGCCCACGTTGGGCTGAAGGACGACTTGGAGGTGACACGAACCAGGGCAGAACGAGAAGGGAGAAACTGGGCACCAGGCAGCAGAAGACAGGAGGAGACAGCCACGTGGAGTCCCCCTCTTCAGGCACACATGGGCTGGCTTGTCCCCACGCAAACTCCAAACCCGCGTGCAGGGGGAGTGTCTGAGACAGATGGGTTGCGCAGCCAATAGTGAGGCTATGCCAGCTTGTGAGGGCGGGAAGAAAGCAGTGAAGAGACGGGCTCACTCACCCGAAATCTGGACCTGGGTCTGGGTCGGAGCCGGGGCCGGGGTCGGGGAGGCCTCTAGGCCTAGTCCGAGACCAAGGAGCAGCCACAGTGCCAGCCCCAGGGCCGCTGCCCGCCCAGCTCCGCCCCGTGCCATCCAACCGCTAGCCGTACCGCTCCAGCCACCGAAAACACTCAGAAGGATGCGCTCTGACTCTCACGCATGCGCAAATAAAGGCAGGGGGAGTGGCACCTGTGAACCTAAAACCGTAAGTACCAGAATACAAGGATCCCGGAATCTACGGCTCCTCCTGGCGTTTTCCCAGCAGCAAAGCCTGATAGGTTTGGGAACCTAGGCCTCCAAATATACTCCCAGATACTCTACAGGCTGAGAAAGAGGACCGCAATATCAAAGCCAACCTAAGCTATTAAAGGAGATCCTGTTTCAGAATAAAAATCACCAAAACAGGTCAGGAAGCCAGGGTTTCCTGTGGTTCAGTGGTCGAGCGCTTGCCTGGATTCCTGAGGCTCTAGGTTTAATGCCTAGCACCAATAACCACATCAATCTGAAATAATAAACTTTCAGGGCCTTCACACATATACTACTGCAAATATCACTACCCAATGGTCCCAATAAATATGGCAGCCACACCCGTGAACACTCCTCAGCAGGTCCCTCATGCTTTGGTGCCACCTACGAGATTTTATTATTTATTTTAGCTTTATTGTCTGATTACCCACTAGAATGCCAGCTGCAGGTGGGTCAGGATGTTGGATTGCTAACTGCTGTGTCTTGGATGCCTGGCACATGCAGTGAAGGAATGAGGTGATGAAGAAATGAACAGTTACCGGCTTTCAACCTTGGCTGTCCCATCTATTTAGATACCATCCCAACCTCGTAACCTCTAGTTCTCACAAATTTGAGACTATTCTGACATTCTCATCCTCCGGGGTAGGAGATGGATACAGGATTGGCAGCATTTGGGTTTTCTCATCCCACTTCCACTCAGTGGGTGCAAAAATGATCTCCAATATGCCTAGTCATTTTGTGGTGATAGTGTTCTGTTGGTCTGAGTTATGTTCTCAATACATAACCCAAGTTGGCCAAGTGGCTTTGGCCACTTATGTATTATGGATACAATCATGTACCACCACAACCAGTTTAGTGTTTTCTTCTTCACATTATGTTTTTCATAGTTGTAACTTCAGAATCTGTGACAGTTATCTCCCAGCACAGCTGGAGACTCCTCACTGTCCCTCAGTGGGCAAATTTCTGATTCCCAAAATGCTACATTTAGGCCTGGATTTTCACACAAATGTTTTCTATTTGCAGATGCATGGGCTGTCTGACCACTGTAAAATGTTAGAGGTTACAACTGCTTTTGGAATATAGTATATAAGCCTCACCAATTTCTGGAGAAGGTAATGGTGTTCAGACACAGAAAGGGATGCAGACAGAGGGAAACAGGATTGCCCAGGAAAGGGAGGGGCACACACTGGTTTTGAATCAGGCTCTTGGTGGAGGATCTGGAGCAGAGGCAGACCCTGGATTTGCACAGAGCAATGAAACTCACTTACCAGCTCCCTAGAGTTTGCAACCAGTTCTCAATAAGCCTAAGAGAGTGCATGGTCTCTCCAAGATAACCTCCCAGAATTGCTGAAACAGCCAAAACAGATAAAGAGCTGAGGCCACACATGGAATTTAACACCTATAATCTCAGACTTTGGAGGGCTGGGGCAGGACTTCGGTAACTTCAGGGTCAGCCTGGCCTATTTATAAAGTTCCAAGTTAGCCTAAGCTAGAGTGGGGACCTACCTCAAAATACAAAAGGACTGGAGAGAGCTCAGTTGCTACAGTGCTTGCCTGGCATGCACCAAGCCCTGTGTTCCACGGTCATCCTCAAATACAAAGAACTTAAGACTAGCTTGGGCTATAGGAGACCCTGCCCCCACAGAGGTAGGTGGATCTCTAAACCTGGTCTAGTCACGGATACAGAGAAACCTTGTCTCCTTGTCTCGGAAAAAAGAAAAAAAGGGAAGGAGGGAAAAAAGGAAGGAGGGAGGGAGGGAGGGAGGGAGGAAGGGAGGGAGGGAGGGAGGGAGGGACAAAGGCAGGCACAGACCTCCTTCCCATACAACTTTCCAACAGTTTCATCAGTCATAAAACTACACAGAAATTTTCAGTGCCACATACTGCCTGAAGCCCCTAGTACTCTGGCCTCTCTACACCCTGACCACTGTTCCTCTCCCTTCTGACCTTCTTTCTGAATCTAGCTTGTCCTTTTGCCCCAACCAGAACCCAAACTCCTTAGTAGAGCCATCTGTAACACTTACTAGGATATGGACACCTTCTGGTCAAGGCTGTGACCTTTCTTCCCTTGCTCTCAACTTGCAGAGGGCTCCAGTCTTAACATGCTTATTACACCTTTCTTGTGGTAACAGCTTTCTATGTTAGTCTGGGATAGGTTCTTAATCTATAACCCAAGCAGGCCTCAAACTGGCAAGCCTCCTGCCTCAGCCTTCTAAGTACTGGGTTTAGTCATGTACCACCACACTCAATTTAGTACTTTATTCACGTTTTCCACAGTTCTCCCTTCAGAATCCACACACCTACTCAAGAGCTATAGGATCATTCCATGAGACAAATGATGTTCACCAACTAGCTTATTAAATGCAGAGATTACAGGCATACACCTATGATACCCACCAAGACCCTAGCTTTAAAAAACAAACCAACAGGCTGGAAAGATGGCTCAGAGGTTAAGAGCACTGGCTGCTCTTCCAAAGGTCCTAAGTTCAATTCCCAGCAACCACATGGTGGCTCACAACCATCTATAGTGAGATCTGGTGCCCTCTTTTAAATCCCAGCACTCAGAGGAGGCAGAGGCAGACGGATCTCTGTGAGTTTGAGAACAGCCTGGTCTACAAAGCAAGTCCACGATAGCCAGGGTTCTGTTACACAGAGAAACCCAGTAGGAGGTTGGAGGACAGCCTGGCAAGATGGCTCACAAGTAGTGGAAGGCTTAGTCCTGAGTTCCATCCTCAGAACAAAAAAAAGGACATGCAGTGGCTCAAATCTGTAATCCCAGCACTCCTACAGCAGGCTGGGTGACACAGATGGCAGCATCGGCCAGAAACTCTTGGGTCAGCTAGCCTGGAATACACAGGATGTCAAAAAACAAAACTCTTCCTCAATAAGGTGGAAGGAGAAAACCAATCCCCAAAGTTGTCCTCTTACCTCCACATATGCTTGCAGCATGTATTCACACGCCCTACACATACTATAACAACAGAGCAAATAAAATCAATAAATACTAAGACAAGACAGAATGGAAGTAATGTGGCATTTGATGTATTTTTTATAAATTAGGTTATGCTCGCCCCAGCAGAAATCCAAGGAGGAAAAGCAGTCACGTGGCCATGGGGACATGGCAAGGTAGCCTAGGGCAGGGTCACAGGTATGGCTGGTCCTTAGACAGCTCCCACCTCTTTATGGGAGGAGCAGGTGTCACTGCCATCTTCTCAGTGACTGCCACAGCAGAGCTGCAAGAAAAAGACAAAGTCCGGTTAGAGGCAGGTCTGCAAAGAACAGTGGAGAAGGGATCTTTTTGCTTATATGTTGTTTGTTTTTAATTGTTACTGAAAATAAATTTTCCATACAATATATCAGTCTCCCTTCTCATTTCCTCCCAGATCCTCCCCACTTCCCCAACCCATCCAACTTCATACCTTCTTTCATTAATAAAACAAACTGACAAATAAACAAACTACCACATCAAAAAGAAACAAAGAAAAACACATGTAGACACAAACACACACACACAAGCACACACAAAACCCATAAAAACACAAACTTGGAAACCATAACATATATAAGCAAAAGACCTGCAAGCACAAAAAGCACTGTGAGACAAAACATCTCCAAAAATATCACTAGGTTTGTTTTGTGACTCCCAGGCCTAGAACCTCGCCTTGAACACCTGGAATCCTCCCTTCCTACTCACAGTCCGGTGTGGACATACTCCAGAGTAGGATACTGGGTGTTAAGGACCCCAAAAACCTGGGGCTAATGGCTAACTGAGGTTGCCAGGCTCCTCTCAGCACTTCTCACCTCCTACCCTAAACCTCTCCAGCCACTGAGCTTCCTTTACCTTATCTTCCCCCAGCTTCTTTTCTATATAACCCAGCCATCTTGATCACACTCTCTTTTGGCTCCACTCTCTTAGTTCTCTTTTGGTTCTTCTCCCTCTCCTGGTCCCTCCTCTCTCTCATCTCATGCTCCAGTCTATTCTAACCATGTTCTGTCTGGACCTTTCCAGATGCCTCTGGCTAAAGTCTCCCTCCTACCTACAATAAAGACCTTTTCCTCAACCACACCTAGGAGCAGTCATGTCCTCATGTTCATTCACCAGGTAATGGGTGTCCACTGTTCTTCCTCAGATAGTGATTACCAAACACTCCACGTAAGGTACACAAAGGCACAGTACTAGTGACATAAGGCCAGCCCTTAAAGCTGGTAGAGCAGAGTATAAAATGTAAATAAACAATCTTAGCACTTGAAAGGCTAATGCTGAATTTTAAGTTTAAGGTCAGACTGGGCTATACAAAGAAACCTTATGTAAAAAATCAGGGGCGGAATGTGCTCAGTGGCATGTACCTATAGTTCCAGGTATCTAAAGAGTCTAAAGAAAGCAACAAGATCCCCTGATCCCAAGAGTTCCAGGACAACCAAGGCAATATAGTAATATGTGTCATTACTACATAACGGTAAAAAGATGAAGACAAGACTGGGCATAGTGACACATCCTTTGATGGCATTTCTTGGTTGTCAACTTGACTACATCTGGAATTAACAAAAACACAAATGACTGGGCACACCTGTGAGGGCTTTTTCTTAATTAAATCATTTCAAGTGGGAAAGTCTACTTCTTCTGATCTGAATCTTTGAGGTGGGAAGATGAACCTTTAATCCAGATCTTTTGACATGGGATAATCCACCTTTAATTTGAACCACACCTTCTGCTGGCAGCCTATGTAAGAGACATGGAAAGAAGTGATCTCTTCTGCAATCTCATTAGCAAGTTCATTCCTGTACTGGCATTAGAGCCTATGTCTTCAAGATTCTGGCCACTGCTGGATTAGCTGAACCATAGCCAGCCATTCTAATAAATCCCCTTTCTATGGAGAAATTCATTCTGTAATTCTGTTCCTGATTAATACACATGCCTTTAATCGCAGAAGTAGTGGAACTCTGTAAATTAGAAGGCCACCCTGGTCTACATAGTAAGTTCCAAGCCAGTGTAACCTCAAACAAACAAAAAACACAAAGAACACTGAACCAACAAGTTCAAGCAAGTACCTTCCGACCCCAAACTGTCTCGACTGCAGCATAGTGCTCGAGAGGCTTAAAAACACAGTGAAAGGAGGCAAGGACACACCACTGTGGAGGGGCAGGGGCAGGAGAGGGACAGGGCTCCTACCATCCCTTAAAAAAAAACAAAGCTGCCCCCCTAGAAAATGCAAACATCCCCAGGGCCACAGTGAAGACCCTGGAAGAGTCAGGTAGCTTGACATACTCACTCTGGTGTTAGATTCCAAAAAAGCAGAAGGTGACGGGGACAATCAGCATGTTCTATCCTAACTTCTAACACATAGAGGCCTCACAGGTTTCACAGTTCAAGTCTAATGTTTTACAGATAGAGAAATAGAGGCTTAAGAAGGCTGAGTAAGCTAGAGCAACCAGACACCGTGGCATATACCTTTAATCCTAGTACTCAGGAGAGGCAAGTGGTTCTCTGAGAGTTCAAGGCCAGCATGGTCTACATTAACAAGTTCCAAGGCTAGGCAAGGCCACATGGTGAGCCTGTCTCAAAACCGAACAAAAGCTATGGCACACTGGCATACACCTGTAATTCTAGTACTTGGGAAGTAAAGGCAGGAGGATTAGAATAAATTCAAGGCCAGCCTGGGCTACCAAAGAAAAAAAAAAAAAAAAAAACTAATAATAATAATACATTTAAAATAAAAAGGTAGGGCTAGAAATAAAACTCAGTAAAGTGTTTATCTAGCATGACCAAAAGCCCTGGATTCCACCCCCAGCTTCATATAAGCCAAGAGTGATAGCACATTCCTGTCAGCACTCGGGAACTGAAGGCAGGGAGATTATGAGTTCAAGTTCTCAGCTACATAGTAAATAAGAAGCCAACCTGGACTACATGCAACTCTGTCTCAAAAAATGAAATAATAAATAGGCTGCTGGCTGGGGAGATGGTTTAGTGGGTAAAATGCTTGTTGTGGAAGCCTGACAAACTAAATGTGAACCCCAGAACCCACATAAAAAGCTGTGCATAGTAGTGTGCATCTGTGATGCCAACACTCCTGCAAATGAACGGGAGGCAGAGACAGCTCACAGGCCAACTATCTTCAGTACACCGCACAGCAAGAGGAACAAACCAAACCTCAAAAAGGTGAAAGGAGAAAATCGATTACCTCCACACACGCTGTTACATGTGCATCGATTCACTGTCACTTGTCCCCTCTCCCCTCACACACACACACCACATGAAAATACACTCACTTTTTAATATAAAAAGGTTGAGGGCTGGAGAGATGGCTCAGCAACAAGTGAACTTACATCCTTACAGAACACCCGAGTTCAGTTCTCAACACACACATCAAGTGGCTCGAAAGAACCTGCAACTCTGCAGGGAGACCTAATGCCTCTGGTCTCTGAGGGCACATGTACTGACATGCACAGACCTACAGACAGACATTTACTAAAAAATAATAAAAATAACTGTTGGGAGTGGAGAGAAGGCTCAGCATGGGCTGCTCTTCCAGAAGACCCAACTTCAGTTTGCAGCACTCACATGGCAGCTCACATCTATAATTCCATTCATTTCAGGGGACCGGATGCCCGCTTTTGGCCTCTGATGGTGACAGGCATGTATAAGGTGCAAAGACCTATATGCAGGGAAAATATCCATATGCATAAAAGTAAATATATCGTTTTTAAATATAGTTTTATTTTTGTTTGTTTTTTGAGACAGAGTTCTTCTGTATAGGCCTGGCTGTTCTGGGACTCAAGAGATCTGCCTGCCTCTCCCTCCCAAGTGCTGAGATTAAAGGAGTGAGAGCCACCACAAACAGTAACAAGAAAAAAAAATTTTTTTGAATAAAAAAAAGAGGCTAAAGTATACTAGGACCTCACTGTGAATTGCCTGTATGGCCTAGGCTGTTGGCCTCTCTAGGCATCGATTCTCTGTGGTTTTGCAAGAGTTATTAGGCATCAAGTATGTCATGAACTCTATTCATCAGCTCATTAAGGAAGATTTATGGTCAAGTACAATATACTTACTTGAACTTTAATTGGCTTTGTGATTCCAGAATTGGTGCAGGTATACAACTGTGTCTGTGTCCATATCGATGTCTGTCTGCATCTGTTCCTGTGCGCATGTGCACATGTCTGTGTCTGTGCATGTCTGTGTGTCTGTGCACATCATGTGAAAGTCAGCGGAAAACCTCAAGTATTCCCCAAGCAGCATCTACCTTTTCCTTGAGTCAGGAACATTCCGAGGCTGGTCAGCAGGTCCAGGAATCCACTTATCTCTACCACCACAATGCTGAAATTTCAAGTGTGTACTAGCAGGCTCAGCTTTTTCCCCCATAGTATCTGGGGTTAAAAATCAGGTTCTGCAAGAACTAGACCAAGTGAGCCATTACCTCAGCATTTTTTTTTTTTAATAGTAAAAGCCAGGCATGGTAGCACTCACCTTTAATCCCAACACTCTCTTGAGGTAGAGATAGGTGGATCTATGTGAGTTTGAGGCCAGCCTGGAAGCAGAACAAATTGAAAGGACAGCAAAGGCTGCTATACAGAGAAGTCCTGTCTCGGATGGATGGATGGATGGGCGGACAGGTGGGTGGCTGGCTGGCTGGCTGGGTAGGTGAGTAGGCAGGCAAGGTAGACAGATAACATGTGAGGAGGAGGAGGAGGTGGTGCATATGTGAGTACATGGATTTGTGAGATCCAGAAGAGGGCACTGGATCCGCTGGAGCTGGAGTTACAGGTTATAAGCCGATCAACATAGGTGCTGAGAACAGAACTGTTCCTCTGCAAGAACATTACACAATCTTAACCACTGCGTCATCTCTCTAGTCTTTTCAGTTGGTTTGTCTGTTTTTATTTGTTTGCGGCAGGCACCTCTGGAACTCATTATGTAGACCAGGCTGGCCTCCAACTTATAGCCAACCCCCAGCTCTGCCTTTTGAGTGCTAGGATGCAAGGTGTGTACCACTGCAGCCTCAGCAACTCATTTTAATTTTTTTCTATACATCTGGGTATGTCTATGTGTATAGGTAATTTGCCTACATATATATGCATGTGCCACTTGAATGTTTGGTACCTGTAAAGGCAGAACAGGGCATCCAATCGCCTGGAACTGCAGTTAATAAAGTTATAAGGCACCATGAAGGTCCTGGCAACCCTACCCATGACCTCTGCAAGATCAACAAGTTCTCTAAAATGGCATAGTATCACTAGACCTTGCACCTCATTCTATAAATCAGAATGAGAGCTGACTAATAGAGCAGAGGAGGTTGGCTTTATAGACAGGAAAGAGCTGAAGGAAGAAGAATTCTAACAAAAAGACTTGTCAGTTCAATGTTACCTTCCTTATAAAGGCTATGCCAGAGGGGACTTCTTTATCATGCCAGCAAAAACTGGTCTGCCAGGGAACTGGCAATGATCTTTCATCTGGTTTCTCAGAAGACTGAACAAACAAGTAAGCTTCACTCATGGCTCGGACTTCCACATAAATGCCTATTCTGTCTTGGTCTGCTGGATCTAGTTTAGAAACTCATTTCAGATTATGGCTTCCTATGAACCTCATGAAATACTACTGTCATTCCCCAATTAAGAAAAGGCACCTGAGGACAGGGACCAAGTAGGTTTTTTTCTCTTGGGTTCCCTTGAGGTTCTTTTATTATCAACATTTTTCTTTATTAATTTATTGGGCCAGGGGGCATGCCATGGCACTTGTGTAGAAGTTAAAACACAACCTGCAGGCATTGCTTCCACCACATGGATCAATCTCAGGTCAGCAAGTGCCTTACCCACTAATGTTACCTGCCCCCACTTGTTTTACACATGCCCCTAACTATATCACCCAAGCTGGCCTGGAATGTCAAACTTCCTGCCTCAGCCTATCTTCATCTCCCAAACACTGAGGTTTACAAGTCCACTACCAGGCCTGGATTTTTTTTTTTCTTTCTTTCTTTCTTTTTAAAGCCAGGGTTCTGGGGATCAAACTCAGGTTGCACTGCTTACTAGGCAAGTAGCTATATTCTCAGCCCTGGTGTGAACTCTTAATTCTCTTGCCCCAGCCTCCTGAGTAGTGGGACCACAGGCCTGCCCCACCACATCCAACTGATAAAAATGGGATTGTGGAAAGCTAGAAAGGAAAAGCCAGTAAAAGAAGGGAATGCTGCAGAGTTCTGGGCAAGGAACATTGAAGGTCCTCACCTCTCAGCTGTCTTGCCTGACACCAAGGCCTTTTGTGAAGACATGATGATTGAAGGAGGCACAACTTCCCGGCGACCATCACGAGTACAGTAGTAATTGTTGGACAGCTTATGACTGGGGCCCACAGGGAGATTAGGAGGTGGCTGGGTCCTGAGGATAAAAAAATTGTCATTGAAACAAACTGACAAGACTGGGATTGGGGCTACAAAGAAGGCTGCAGGCCAACGACATGTCTTGATGCATTATCCCATTATATACCTGGGTCTAGAAGGGAAAGCAAGCATCAGACA